AGTAATGAGAGCAATACAGTCCTGGATGACCCATTGCAGACGTACAGATTAACAGACTCTATCTAATCGCATCTGATTCCACTGTTTTCTTTAAGTATAATGAAAACTTGTACTCAGAGTACTAGGAATGCAGTCATATATGCAAACATATAAATCCATGTTAATTATGAATTAAGGAATACCCAGTGTTCATGTATTCATACAGACAAGAACCACATGTGCCTATTTATTCTGCCTAGATATTTCTAGAATATCCAAATGAAAATATAGATTGAAATGTAACAAAAATAATTGTAACAATTAGAAAGATAACAGTGACTTTCTGAACCATCTATGATGAACTAAATATTGGAATGAACATTTCCTCCATAAAACTCAATAACTGAGTAACTAACCCCATTGTCCTTAAATATTTGGGAAAGTTAAAAAAGAGCATCATTTATTCTGAGCAGTAACAAATACTTCTGGTTGATCATTTTCCCTCATTTTCTTTTTTCAGTTTCTCAGATGCAGCATAAAATATCCTCCACCTCTATGTGTACATTCAAATAAAGTGAGGACACTGCGGCAATTATGTAAATAAGCCAGGCTTTAATTTTTCTTTTTCTAAGAGAAAGGTTTTCCCTAGTTATGCAGAACTACTTCAAGTTTGCAAATCAAGCAGTTGATGTAATTCCTGTAGGGTAGATTTCCAACTTCCATCTTTAATCTTATTTTTCAACACTTACTAAGACCAATATCAAATGTACTGAGCAACGCTGGAGGGAAAGAAATACTCATCTCTACAAATGTGACTATATGATTCTGTACTAGGTTGATGAAGAAAACTGAGGCAACAGACTTAATAACTCACGTGAAGAATAGGTTTCAAAATTAAACCACAACTTTCATGATGCTTTATTTGAAGAAATAAAATAGGGTTTAAGTTGTGCAAACAGTGACCTCAACCCTCTGCATGACTTACTAATAAACCTGATATTAAAACATGAAATAAATATTTTCAGAAATCATGGAAACTTTTGAAGCTTTCAAGCTGTTTTGTTTCAAATATATAATGTGACTCTTATACCAGGAGTCACAACAGGAAGAAAGGTATAGATGCTATCAAATTAGATTACCAGAAAAACTCCCTCTATTTTACTTTATTTAATGTGACACATAAAGAAAGCCCTGCACAAATATCTGTCTTTAATTTCTCTAGTGTAAAAAAGGAAATATATTGTGTCTGGCAGAATGAAACAGTTGAAATAGCCTGGGTGCATTTAAAAAAAAGGGGGGGGGGAGAAGGAGGAGAAATCAGATGCGTGCAATGAGCCTTCAAAGCCACTCCACCAGTAGGGATAAATAATTTAATAAACTCAACTTCATATTCTTTTTATCTCCCAAGTGTAATAAACACATATTAAAAAAATAAAACTTTAAATTCATGAATACTTGTGAATAGACTAGCAGCCAGCAGATAATGAAAAAACACAAAACAATATCTATGTGAGCACTTAACATGTGCATGCACATCCTCCAACTAACACATACCTTTTTCCTGATGAGAGGTTACAATTGCTGAAATTTATGAACATGCAATTCAAATATAAATTAGATTTTTTTTTTAAAAAAAAGGCAGAGAAGACTTGTCTTTCTACATTTCTCAACATAATAGAGTTTTCCTCTAACCCTAATAAGATTATTTCTGCATAACTTTGTGTGTCCCATGTAAACAAGCAGGTCTAAAGATAGGAGGATAAGTTACTTAGGAAAAAGTACTTCAGGAAAAGTTATCTTACCATTGTTATTTTAAATGATTTAAAGTATTAGGGACTATTTCATTATTTTACATTCATTATTACTACTAACATTTATGACAACAGTGTGCTTGTGTCTTTAGATTTTATTTTCCCTAACTGTTACATTTTAAATCAAGGGTGCATGGTAAAGTAAGTAAATGAAATGGAAAAGTCAGTCCCTAAAACGCCAAATATCACTCAAATATAAGCATCTCAAAGTATCATTAAGTCCTGTGATTCTTGGTTTTCTTCTTTTTTTTCCTTAAATTAGGTCAGTTTTCTTCAATTATCATTGCATTATTAGCTTATGTCAAAGGTGGCAACATACATGCATACAACTGAAAACAATTAAGCATTTATATCCTAAAGCACAGGGTACCCATAAGCTTTCATTCTAGTACTTACTACTAAAATTGTATTGTCTGTAAAGAATAATACTAATAATATAAAGACTGGGATCATTAGAGTTCTTCATAAACTTTTCACATAAGTATATAAGTAAATTTTAAGATATCTCTATGTATTACATAAGCATTGAAATTAGTTTAATACATCAAACGATTTTTTTAAATTTACTATAAAGCAGTTAAATACATCACTCCCACAAACAAATCTATCTCCAAAACTTAGATTTAAAATCGACTGCATTCCACGAAAATATGCTATCATTTTTAATTTCTCTCCATACGTCATTTCAATAATTAAAAAAAAAGTAGAGGAGTGAAAACACATTCTGATTTTCCGTTCAACAATGAGCGGTGTCCAAGATCACTGAAGGGGCTCAGCTATGGAAGGCAATTCATTTCACATGCTCACTGTAATAGAAAATCACTGTGTTGCCGCAACAAGCAGCACTTGCACTAGAGTATTATTCTAGGGCGCCGGTTCACCCACAGTGATAACAGCCTACGGAAGAATCCTGTGTTATGTAAATCACTGTCAGCTCGGAGTGTGACGGGTGCTTAAAGAAGCAGCTCAGAAAACACGGTCCTGATGTCCTTGAAACCGAATGACTTCACTTCCCTGGAACACTCTAAGACTAACGAGTTTCTTAGTCCTTTTCCTCACCATCCATTTTTCTTTCTTAAAGTGCAAATCGTTAGTGAAAAGGCCCCGGTTGCACCAATTAGTTTGCACAAAGTGCTTCGGTGTTTAGCTTCGCTTTAACCCAATTAAGCCGCACAGTGAGCCCTGAAGATGCGCCACCTGCGCGTCTGGCTCCTGCGAGGCCTGGCCGGCGCCCCTCGCAGCCGGTCAGACCCATCCCGGCCCTCGTGCCGTGGTTCCCCGGAATAGCCCCGGGGCTTCTGCGTCCCGGGTTGCTTTACGTCCTCGACAAGCGGGGATGTTTGCAGGTGGCCCAAAAAGCCAAGGGGCAAGGTCTAGGCCGAGCATCTCTGGCCTGACTCCAAGGGAGAGCGCGATGAAAGCAGTGGTCTGCAGCGGGCAACCAAAAAAGCGCCAGGCGGCGGCCACCGCTGTGGGGTGCGTGGGCAAAAAGCGTGGCTAGACCCTCACGCAGATAAAGACCATGGGACAGTGAGCAACAAGGAAAGCAGGATGGCCCAGGAGTGCGGAGGCCCTGGAGGAGGAATGGGAGAGGGAAGCACACCGCCCGAGCTGCGTGAGGGCAGAGGTGGCCTTTCCCTAGAGACCACTGCACATTTTCGCCACCGCCACCGCGGGTACTCTGGCTCTGATTTGCCTCTTCTTCCTCTTCTTCCAACTGCCAAAAGGTAGCAGTGCGTTCACCCGCGAAGCTGGCAAAATGGGAAGGGACTTTTCCAGTGTTCCTGTCCCAATTCCTAAGGGAATGGAAGGTTCTTGGGAAATACAGTGGGTGAGTGCCATGAGCCTCAAATGTCATATAGCATTTTAAGCTAAACTGGACTCTATCACTCTTGAATAAAGAGAAAATAAATATTAGGTGGCTTTGTGATGCTGTACCTATTAGAAAAAAAAATCAAAGGCTGAATAAGATCTTATTAAAAGTGGCTCTTGGAAAGAAAATATCTGTGAACGTCTTACCCAGTTATAGGAATTCACAGGAAATATTCTTAATTTGAAAGAGATGACATCTAAATTAAAGGTAGGCAATTAAAAACCGTCTAGGTTTTAAAAGCTTACATATGCATTAAGTAAAACGTCTTCAGTTTTCTGTTCATTGAGGACACAATTGGTATCACCAGGGAAAAAAAGCGTTCTACATAAACCTACTTCCTGCTCCTGTTTCAAGGTTCTAAAATGTAGAGATGTTCAATTCTTTCATTTTTCCAGAAATGATCTTTGCATCCCAGAAAACAACTACAAATTTCCTTTGAAAATATTCGCCATTTTCCACTAATCAAATTGGATAAAGTAGTATATAAAATTAGAAGTCTACTGTCAGATCTGCAGGAAGGACATTTAAGATAGGAGCTGTATCATTAGCATCTGCAAAGAAGCCAGTAGGTCTGAGCTGCATGATCTCTTCTAAATTTATGCATAAAAATACAGTTCACCATGAAATCCTGCTAAAATCATCTCTTGGTCCCCAAAATAATTCAAATATTTCTACAAATGCATACACAACTTAGTGTCCTGCTTGTAAAGCTAAGCAAATCTGCCAATGTGCTAAGGAGACTTCAGATGGTGGGGAATGGTGTTTCATCATTTAAAAAAAAAGGTTTTAACTTAAACTAGGCTAGACAGCATCTAACACATGCAACAGTACTTTTCAGATTCCTTTCAACAAGTGCAAACAAGGCAAATGCATAGGTTAAAAAAGTACACCACCTGCATAAGGTTAAAAAAATTCTGACAAACTGGAACATCTGGGATGAGAAAATTACACAGGTATTACTCCCTCAAAGCCAACTTCCATATGCCAATAGTCTGCATGGAAGAGCAAACTTTCAACCAGCATTTTTAAAAGACCCTGAGGATTAACGGACTTTAATTACCTTACTCTAAATGCAAGTTAGTGACTTTGTTTTAGAAAACCCCATCCAGTTTGCTAACTGTTGGATGACCATCAGTACACCTGTATTTGCACTTCAGTGGTAAAAAAGACAAGCAAGGGTTTCAAGTTGAGCGAGAGCCTCCTTGCCAAGTCTTTTCGAAATGTCTGTATGCTTCCAGTAATACCAAGGCTGAGATTCCTCTAGATTTCCACACTGTCTAGGTGGCCTAGGTGGTTTTCTGCCGGCAGGAGCCTCCTACCTTTAGTTGGTGTGCCTATATCCGTGAGGGGGGATTAATTAGCTGAGTTGGAGCTGAAGGAGGCTGTCGTGACGAGCCCAGTGGCGATTGGCCGCCCGCCTGCCTGGCCCTGCCTTTATAATTTCCACACGAGTGCATCTGGGCTCTTAGACAAACCAACAGCAGCTTCTTCTGACATATACACACGCACACTCACCCGGACACACATTCAGCACACTTTTCCTCCACCTGATTAACAGTCCATTGCCCACAATGATTACCGGAAAGCGTAAATAAATACGAAAAGGGGTGATTATTTTGACTACTCGAAGAGCCTTCCTGGGTCTCAGCGCAACTTTTGTTTTTATCACTGAGAAGGTGATCTCTCCATGCATTTCTCTCACACGAGGATTCTTTAAAAGAGGAAGAGAGAAGGAGAGAGGGGGGACAACAGTCTTTCACTTTAAGACCGTCTGGGCTCAAAGATAAAAGGAAGGGGAAAGCGGCAGCAGCGGCAGGAAAAGCACCGCTGCAGCACATCGGAAAGACGGTTGGGGTGCATTTCCGAGCGCTGCGGCCCTTTTCTCCACCGAAGTTGGCTCCAGCTCTAGCAGCCGCATTGGATCCCACAGCTTACTGCGAGACTCCGGTGTACAATCCGGATCTCTGCCCCAACATGATCGCGGCCCAGGCCAAGCTGGTCTACCATCTGAATAAATACTACAATGAAAAATGCCAAGCCAGGAAAGCTGCCATTGCCAAAACTATCCGTGAAGTCTGCAAAGTAGTTTCCGACGTACTGAAGGAAGTGGAAGTGCAGGAGCCCCGGTTCATCAGCTCTCTCAATGAGATGGACAATCGCTACGAGGGCCTCGAGGTCATCTCCCCCACTGAATTTGAGGTGGTGCTTTATCTTAACCAAATGGGGGTGTTCAACTTCGTGGACGACGGCTCGCTGCCTGGCTGCGCGGTGCTGAAGTTGAGCGACGGGCGCAAGAGAAGCATGTCCCTTTGGGTGGAATTCATTACAGCCTCGGGCTACCTCTCCGCGCGCAAAATCCGCTCCAGGTTTCAGACGCTGGTGGCTCAAGCGGTAGACAAATGTAGCTACAGGGATGTGGTAAAGATGGTGGCAGACACCAGCGAAGTGAAACTGAGAATCCGAGATAGGTACGTGGTGCAGATCACCCCGGCTTTTAAATGCACCGGGATTTGGCCAAGGAGTGCTGCCCACTGGCCGCTTCCCCACATCCCCTGGCCGGGACCCAACCGGGTGGCGGAGGTCAAAGCGGAAGGGTTCAATCTCTTGTCCAAGGAGTGCCACTCCCTGGCCGGCAAGCAGAGCTCCGCCGAGAGTGACGCCTGGGTGCTGCAGTTCGCGGAAGCAGAGAACAGACTGCAGATGGGGGGCTGCAGGAAGAAATGCCTCTCCATCCTCAAAACCTTACGGGATCGTCACCTTGAACTGCCGGGCCAGCCCCTGAACAATTACCATATGAAGACTTTAGTTTCCTACGAGTGTGAAAAGCATCCCCGGGAGTCGGACTGGGACGAGTCTTGCCTGGGTGATCGGCTGAACGGGATTTTGCTGCAACTCATCTCCTGCCTGCAGTGCCGGCGGTGTCCCCACTACTTCCTACCCAATTTAGACCTGTTTCAAGGCAAACCTCACTCTGCTCTGGAAAACGCCGCCAAACAAACGTGGCGACTGGCAAGGGAGATCCTGACCAACCCGAAAAGTTTGGAAAAACTTTAGAGGATGATTCAATCAAGAGCCGAAATGATTACTCTTCTTAAAGTCCTAATTATGTGCAAACTTCCTGTTCAATGCCTAATATTCCACTCGACAGTGCAACCAATCTCTTCCTTAAAAAGGAATAATACAATGTTTAGGCATCATCTCACCCACTCCTCCAAAGGATGGAAAAGAAGTCAGAGAGGCGGATGGAGAAAAACCCAAACCCACAAGTATTAGAAGACTTCTTTACAAAGATTTCGTATCTCCCTTGAAAAGTACAAGCTAACACCTAGAAAAAAGCCTGGCTGTAATGCAAGACCACAGGGAACACTGCCTAACTATCAAAGGATTATAGCAATCCTGCTGATTTAGGTGCATCTGTCTGTGAGTAAACTCAATTTGGATATGCCATCTGAAGAAAAGTGTAATGTATATTTTGATTTGTAACAAATATTGTGATCTCACATTGTCTTTGAAAGTGTGGATGTTGGTGTTTTGTGATTTGGTGAACAGAAGTTAAATTGCCATTTTGGATACTTCCAGACATTTTTCACTAACAAAGATACCATTTAAAGGTAGATTTCCTCTTGATACATTATCTGTCTTTGAAAGTGTCTGAATTTTAAAAAGTTTACATTTTGTTTCAAATATATTGCTTGTTCTATTTCTAACATTCCATAAATATACTTGAAATGTTATTTAAATATATTCAAAGAAATTTGAATTCAGCTTATATAATAACGCTTGAATATCTGAATTATATATTTGAAAAATGCACTTGAAATACACTGGATAATTACTTTTGTGATTTAGATTTTAATTTCTGTTGCTGATTTTTATTTAATTAGAAGCTAATAAATGAAGTAAAATAAAAGTTGTTGTGTCTCACATTAAATTATTTTGTTATCAAAAAATGTAATGCTCCAATTTGAATTGAACCCACTTAAATATTTTAAACATTTTGAGAAATATTCTAATGAAGTTATTAAAAATAAAACCTTAAAGTATTGGAAAAAAGCTCTTTTTATGATTACAGAAGATAGTAATCTGCTCTCGGTTTCTAACTTACTGGTAAGAGTATTTCTACAACAGACACTATTAAATGTACTTTGAAGGCTTGCTCTTCTGGTCAGTATTTCTGTAGCAATTTTTATAAAAGAAAAATTCTATCATGACAGTAGAGATTATAGAGATTACTGCATTAAAAATCTAACTACCTCATAGAAAATGAATTAAACAAAGTTATAATAAAACTTACAAAATTTGTATATGAAACTACGCTAATAAATGAAGGTCATTTCTGATCAACATATTTTATGTCAAACCTTATTTAATACAGTAAGGGACCAATTATAAGAATAAATTATTCAGAAATCCAAAATCCCTTTTTACTTTACAGAGCAATCTAATAGACGCATAAAGACAAACTTTAAATTATTTAAAATCAAGTGAAGTGCCTTCGAATCCATTTTTAAAATTCACTCCTGTTGGTGCTGTAAGTAAACACAGTCCTATGACTATCCTTCAGAGGGTTTTCATAGTCAACAAGTGCTGAAAGGACTGAGTACCTATTAAACTAGTTCATTCAGGTGGCAGTATGTTTAAGAATTTCAGTTGCTAATCTACAATGCTGTATTGTAGTGTTTTTCTATATACAAATTAAATATAAATAACAACATTCTGGCTCTATGAGAGTATTTGTCTTTGACTATTTTAGAATAACTGCCTCTGAAAACACTTTACAAGAAGATCTTTGCAAAATGATCAAAAGTATCTAGTATAATACTTAATGCTCTTGAATTCTTAACCTCACAAAAGAAACATGCTAATTTTACAGTGACTTGAGAGTTAATAACAGTGGATCTCAGAAGAAAGTGTTCAGAGAGCTGCTGTAACACTTAGGTGTTGAAAATCTACACAATAAGATTTAATAAATACTTATGCACTTCAAGCAGTCCAAATATGTATTTCCTGGAATCACACCCCCAAAAGAATACAACTTTTAAACATCTGAGCACTTGCATATACTATGTATACATTTTAAATCAAAGCTTCTCAGATAATCAGTTTCTCTTCCTTTTAAAAAACCTATGCTTATTTCAGGAGATGAAAATTGGATGTAATAATGGAGATGAATTTATACCTCAATAGCTTCTCCCATAATTTTCTTGTAACCTTTTGGTAAATAATAATTCACACTGCAAGCTACACTTTTGGAAATTAAAAGTGATATTAATAATAAATTTCATAAGACCTAAGACCCTTCTTAGTTTTCCCAGGGGAAGACTGGACCCAGGGGAACTTGGGAGCAATTGGCTTAACTACCAAATCTGCCTAAGTGGGCACGACTGTAGGCACGCACAGAAAGATTGCTGAAATGTGCATGCTCTGGTAAAACAGGATTTAAACTCATTAATATATTCTTTAATTCCATAAAATAGAGCACGTGGTGTTATTTCTTTCATCTCATTTTCTATGAGAAAAACAAGAATGTGCATCCCCTCCCCCGCTGTCATTTAAAACCAAGCAAAATTGTAAACCACTTCCTGCCACAAAGCCACCATTGCTATAGGAAAAATCTCTTAAACTCACTTTAGTGTCGATCTTCTTGAAGGCAGGATCATCCTCATCTACCTCGAAGTAGATTTCTGTCGTGGTGATGGAGAGAGTCCCCTTGGCCACCACCACGGGTGCGATGAGCTGGGCAGGGGTGCTGAGAACCACTGGGCCTGTAAGACAAGGGCAAGGGAGTCAGGCTGTGCCCCTGTGGACTGCTCTCCCAGAAGGGTACTGCAGATTTTTATTTTTAAAGATGCGCTAGAAAAACACTACCTATGCGCAAGATCTTTTCTTGTGAGCTAAGATCTGCTTAACTTTTTACACATCACCTTTTAGCGAGAAAGAAGATAAATAATTCCGCAAAAATCCAAAAGGTTAGAATATGGAATAAGGGACCCTCAGCAAGGGAGTTTACAACCTCCCCTTAGAAATAAATCCAACAGTGTGGGTGAAGCACTACCAGTAACCAACTTAAAAGTGCAGGGCAGACTCTGTAATGCGGGATTCTCCATTGAGCCTCATGGCTTTGACAGACCCTGGGCAATCAGCATCACCCCTAAAGACCAGCCATGCTGTTCCACTAGGCTGAGATGCTCCCCAAGGAGCCGCAAGAGGGTGTGAAGGGGGAAAGGACCTATTAAATACATAAATTCTACCGTGTGCGTGTCTCAGGAAGATGAATTTAACATCGGAGTCCTAAGGAGAGTCACATACACACAAACGCACGCACATGGACAATACATAAAGTTCTCCTGTAACAAAGAATAAAAATTTTAGCACTTCCCTACAGAATTTGTCAAAAGTGATGAAAATGTTAAGACGCTAGAACAAAATCATCTCGGAGAAAAACGTCCAAAAAGTGCTACCGCCCAACTTTTGAACGACAGGAACTAAGGTTCAGTAAAAAGATTTTTAGAAAGTGTGCCTACTAGGGTGCTTGCTTCTTTCTAATCCCCTCAATCTGAATCAGAGTTGAAAATTACGAATTTTACATACTAGAATACGAATTCAAAGGGGCATTACTTAAATGTTCCCTTTAAAATCCGCCAAAGAGGAGGCATTCTCCGTGATCTTGCACGTAAAATACGAGTGGAAATAAGAAATAACGTTATCCATTCGTCGGTAGCAAGAATTTCTCATAATCCCTTCTCGTTCCCCCCCTCAAATGCATGTAGTCAAGCCAGTCACAATAGCAGCGGGAGAAAGGCAATAAAAAGCCAGATCCCCTGCGGCCTCGCAGACCCTGGCCCCTCGGCGTGGAGACCGCCTCGTGCAGCCACCTCCACAACCCGCGCGAGTCCACCCAGTAGGGCCGGGCGCGGAGACGGCGGCGACGTTTGCGTTCCCTGAGCGCCGCACACGCCGAATCAGCGACGGTCCTGCACAAAGCCGGGCCCTTTCTGCTGCTGGAGGTACATACAGAAAGGACTCGGCCTGCTTCTGTTGCGCTTAAGCGGGGCGGGGGGGGTGGCTATGAAGCAAACTGTGTCAGTGTCAGCTTTCACCCTCGATCACGATCGCCAGGATCTGACGAACGCAAAGCTTGTTTCTTTGATTTTACTGTTTTCTATGCCCAATGGGCCCCGGGGCTCGCGGACTCCCTGGCCTCAGTCTAGTTTCCGCTGCGCAGCCGAGCGGAGTCGGGGTCCACCTTGGCTCCACAACGTTTTTCTTTCCAAAGGGCGAGGCGGTCGATCTGAAGCGCCACTTTAAAGGCTCATCAATCTTAATCTAGGTTGCTCAAGTAATTATGCCCGAATCTCTTGTACGATTACAAGTGGATTTGGGTTTCTATTCCCCAGGCCCTCCTTTGTGTTTATTGGAGGGTCTGTGCGCGCGCTTGGCGGCGCCTCAGCACTCCCGCGCCCTCCTCCGAATCCCCCAACGCACGGGTCGGTTCGAACCGCTCCCTTAACCCTTAAGCAACCAGGACGCTCCTTCGGATGCCACTTTTCATATTTCCTCTTTGGAGAAATTCATGCAGTTTACTCCTGACTGGGGCAAGGTGAGAAAGAAGGTAACATGATTCACATCAGAAACAAAGTGTCATCTTACACATCCTTGGGGCTTGCTAAAATGTCCAAAAAGTCTTCCTTCTAAATACACAGGACTAGCTAGCACCTTATGGTTTAATAGAGATTTCTGGCATTTGGAGATGAAGAATAGTTTAAAAAAATTATAAACGGAGAACCACTTCTTTCTTTTAAAAAGTAATTTAAAATATCCAATTAAATCGAGAAAATTGAAAAAAAATTACAAAACACATTATCAAAACCATACCAACTCATTTACTGAAACGTATTATAAAGTTTTCAGTACACAGTCCTACAAAATTTTAACTGAAAACACATTTTCTCTACTTATTTCTCTGTATTTCTGAAAAGAGACTGGGCTTCCTTTTGATGATACTCCAATTTCACTCTATCGAGTTGAGATTTTCTGGGGAGTTTATAAAAGGGCTTCAGACCTAAGAAAGACACATCATGAAATATCCAGTCTTAGTGGTATGTCATTTTTACCCCTGTCCTTTGGATATCTCCAATTACAACTTGCAGTGCCATAGCATGTTTAAGGAGTACTGAGTCTTTTTGTTGTAGCCTTCAGGGAGCAAACCAGCCACAGAGAGAATTTGGAGTTAATCCACTACAGCAATAGAGAGAGGGGATTATGTTTTAATCCCCTTTGGGGGAGCCTTTGGATTTTAGGGATCCCATATTAAAATGTTTACATAAGGCACAATCACCAGCCAGCAGATCTTCCATATGGTAAATGGTTATTCGAAAACCTCGGATCTCTTTCCAAGTAAAAATAGTTTTAAAAGGGAAGCATTTCTGGATGCCAGCAAGGTGGTGATCTAGCTGACTGTGTTTACAAAGATAATTCAAGCAATTACAAATTTAACTTCCTAAAATTTGCTTGGTTATAGTGAACCGGGTCCTAATTATAAATATATTTATTCTGATCACTACTATAGCAATAAAAGAATAAATTGTATGTCCTTGTTGCACACAGAGTAATAATATTAAAGAATACTTAAACACATGGATGAAACAAAGCCTCTTTCCATTGTATTGATGCATACGTCAATTTAAAATGTTACTTTCTGAAGTAGTAATTGGAAGGAAAAAATAAATGCTGTTTACTTTTTACATGTGACAATTTAATGTTTTTTTTTTAAAAAAACAGATTCATTACTGATTTTGAAAAGATAGGGATATTATTTGCCATTAATTTAATTTAAAATCTAAATTACTATAGATTGAGGTGAGGTGAGAAAGGAGGAATAATGAAGCACAATAAAAAGAATCTTGAGAAAAATTAATTCCTCTTCAGAGACACAGGGTCTTTAAGAGGGTGAGATGGTAAACCTCTTTGTGGATTTAGAGTAGAAAGTACCCATGTTTTATATTTGAAAACTGAATCATTCATCAAATATATTTTAAAAGTGGAATGTTAAATACTTGTGAGTTTGTATAATTCTGCTGAAAATTCAAAATTCCAAGCCTAGAAATCTTAATAACAAACAATACACTGACATTTTAATAGGACTTTACAGCGTACAAAAATTCTTTTACATTTTTACTTAATAGTCCACTATTCACAAATTTTGGGCTACAGACATGTCAGTGCTCTTTTGCCAAAGACCATCAGGAATACATCTGCAGCTGAACAAGTTAGGTTTCTTGCTCATAGCAGTGAGAAAGATTGGGACCATGGGAACCATGGGTGACTAGGTAAGAAAATGGGCAAATACTATATTAGATGGTCCAGAAAGTCATGACGTGTTTTTCTATGCAAATATGCATCATGACATTCCCAACAAACCAACAGTATCTGAGCATTGATTAACTGGTTTAGGGAAGGGCTCAAGGAAGAAGAGCTTTGTTCTGAACAGATCTTTATCAGGAAGTAGCAATAATTCTGTGACTGAGTATTTCATTTTTTTTTTTTTTAAGACACTGACTTTTACTATTAGTCTGCATGGACTTGCTGGAGAGACAGAGAGAGAGAAAGCAAGAAATAAACCCTGGGGGAATGGCCACGCCTCAATCCCTTCTTCCCTATTGTCCTCTTGGGATTTTGGGCACGCATGCACATGTGCCCAGCTTGAATTTCAAGCCTGTGGGTCCAGGACTCAAACCACTGTCAGCCATGCGGGAGTCCGGGGCCTTAACCACCACACCACCTGTTGGCCCCTGTGACTGGGTACTTCAATCAACTTAATCTAGAGGAAGGGAAGCCTAGTCTTAAATTGTAATTGGAAAGAAGTAGCAGTCACTCATAGTAGCCCAGAGAGGGAAATGTTTGGTAGTTCTGTGATATGCACAGCAGTCTTGTTTTTGTTTGTGTTTAGACAAAATTATAGTTGCGTTTTGTGTCACATCATCATTATGTGACATTGTCTGATGTTGATGTTCTAAGAGGTTGTTTATGTCCATCAACAGTACAAACACCATGGTCTAGCTGTGAGCTCTAGTCCTACTCAAAACAATATTGAGGCTTAGATGAAGATCAGGCTAGTTCACAAAGGTCAGAGCTACTTTTCTTTATCTCAGATGCAGGAATTAATATTGGGGGGGGGTGGTCAATAGCATTCCAGCTATTACAAGGCAATTATGTAGGCCAGGAGATGGCATAATGGTTACGTCACTGGACTCCCATTTAGTCGACCACAGTTTGAGTCCTAGACCTTGCAGATTAAAACTCCTATTAATGCGTGTGTGCCCGTGTTCCTGAGAGGAGAATGGAGGAGAAGGGATTGTTGTGTAGCCATCCTCCCGGGGTGGTGGTGGTGGTGGTGATTTCTTGCTTTCTGTCTCTGTCTCTACAGCAAGCGCATGTGCCCTATAGCAAAAATCTCTCTAAAAAATAAAGGCATTTATGGCAATTAAATTTTCAAACAATGCTAAGTAGCTTCTCTACAAGTTTCAATATGAAACAAAGCAAGGAATATATATGGGGGGAAGTTGAAGTTTAAGGAAACAGCATTATCAGAATTATTGGATTAACATTCCAATGGCAAAAACTATAGTTAAGGTGCAACAATTTACAATACATTTTAGAATCACTTGACCATTTCCTAAACTTGGCTTAATATTAATAAAAGTTTTATTAAGTATGTGGAAGTTCTCCAACCTCATTTACTTTGAAACCACATGTTCAATATTCA